ATGTGGACCCGACCCCCCACCCCCACCCCCACCGCCCCGATAGAATTTCGGATACACTCAGGAAAGGGCGGGCTCACATAAGCAGCTCTTCGCCCGTTGCATAGCAGGAGCAGGTGTGACAGCGCATGGGTGGGGGGCGGGGCAAGGCAGAGTTGCAATGTTGCGTCGGGCGGCAGAGCAGCAGCAGTGGCGAATTGCTATGCCGAGTTCGTGCGATGCGTGCGGCAAGCAGGCCAGCGCATGTGGCTTGTGGTGTACAACAAAACAGGGGGCCAGAGCCCAGGACTTGAAATCCGGTGAACTTGAGCTTGCGCTGCCTGTGTGCAGACAGTAACCCAAGTGCCATGCGCTGACGACTCGGTCTTCAGCGCGTGGTCGGCCCAAGCCTTCCCGCCCTGGCGCCCACTGCTGCGCCAAGTGAAACGCACGGCGCTGGCCTCAGAAACAAAGAGTAAATCCACGGGCAGGGATACCCACTCGATTTGAGCATACTGCTGCTTGCCGCATCTGCCGTGTGCGGTGTCTACGGTGGTGACCAGTCTAGGCGCCCCACGGTAATCGCAATCGTTACTGTATGCATGGTACGACGGAATTTCGGTCTAAATCCACGAATCAGAGTCCCTCGTGTCCTTCATCGCAGCCGTATGGACCCTCACTGGGCTCGATGCAGGGAGTAATTGCAGGTGACGGCTGCTCGTGCCTGAGTCACGCCTCAAAAACACAGGCACAGCTCGTCGCGTGCCGCCTATAGCCACAGAAACTCACGTGTGACGCAGAATCTGAGCTCAACACAAATAACAACTCGGTCTATGGAGGGCCACGCTGTCCGCACACACCTTTCCGGGGTGTCACAAGGCACCTTGATTGATTACCCTATTGCCAGTTGTCATGACGCGTGGTCGGAATCTGGGTGCTAGTAAGATTTACTACTGCATGCATGATACGACGATTTTTACACAGTAAGAGTCTAAGACGTGTTGATTCCATTCATTCCAACACCGGCACCCACGCCTAGTATCGCACCGGAGTCCATCCCTCGCGCCCTCCACGTGGGCACCGTCGTCCGGGGTGTTGCATGATTCTCGATGCGGGTGTATATCTTGTATTGAACAGCAACGCGCTCAGCCACCCCAGGCCCCCATCCCCCACGGTCACACCTCCATCCCACCCATCCCGCGGCACATCATGAGCCGTCGTGCCGCCGCCCCCCCCCCCTCCATGCTCACAAAGACACAGGTTTCAGCACCCCATTTGTCGTATTTGGAGAATGGCTCGCATTTTCGCTGTGGCCGCCATGGCCTTGTTGGTCCTGGCCGCGCCCGCCCTTGCGGCGCGCGACCTCAAGCAGCTGAGCGGCGTCATTGGCACCGTGAACGGCCTCGTGGGCACTGTGGGCACCACTGCCGGCGGCCTCCCCATTGTCGGCGGCGTCGTCAGCCCTCTTGTTGGTGGCGTCGTCAGCCCTCTTGTCAGCGGCGTCGTCAGCCCTCTTGTCGGCTCCGTTGGCGGCACATTGGGGGGTGTCCTCAACACCGTTGGCGGCGTGACCAACACCGCCACCGGCCTTGTTGGCGGCCTCCCCGTCGCCGGCCCCATCGTCACCAACCTCCTCGGCCCCGGCACCAGCACCGGCACCGGGACCAACGCGGTCCCCCCCACCATCCAGGCCCTTACCAACTCCATCATCGCCAGCATTAACAACATCGGCGTTCCCACCAGCGGGCTGACACTGAACGACGTGCGGGGCCTGCTCGGTGACACGACCGGCGGCCTGCTCGGCTGATTGCGCACATGGGACTTTGCGCTTTCATCCAAGTAACATATGCAACGCGCTGCACCATTATCCTGTGGCTTCCCACTGGGTTATGAGCAGTAGTGCCAAGAAGTTCGTGCACATGCAGGCTTTCTTTACGCTTTCAAGCCAATGATTCCGGGCGTGCCTTTGTGATTTTGTTGTCTGCTGCACTACCGTTGCCAGCTATCGGCTGAGCGGCAACTGTCCCCTGTAAGACTTCACATCTCACAAGCACTCCTGCTCAATACGCGGTTTGACCAGCCTTCTCAGGTACCAGCTGCCCAACCAGCTGCATGTGCACCAGACCATTGCTGCCGAGCCCCCGGGAGCCGGGACAGCATCGTGTCCGGCGTTCAGTCAAAAGTTTCACTGCAAGACACCCAGCTATTTGTCATCCTAACAATGACTAATCGCAGGCCCCGCCGTGCATCATCGCTGCACTGCATCGAAGAGATAGAGCCTGGCACTTGCCTTGCCGCTGCTCAGCAAGCACACAAAGCGGCCCCGTCCCCACGGTACCCTTGCATCACCCTTGCAGTATGATAACTATTATGGAGATCAATTACCGTTGTGTTGCCACACTTGACGCAGGGCGGGGGAATGGAATCTGTGTCGGCGCCGTACACTATAATCACTTAAACGCTCCCTACCATTCGTACGTGTCAGTGTTGGGTGGAGGCGCAGCCTGCAGCTGGCTGGACACGGGCATGCCTCACCACATTCGGCATACGAATGTAGGGCAGTTGCTGCATAGCATGCACGATGGTGTGCTTATGCTTGGGTGTTTGCAAAAGGCATGCGCTGTTCGGCTTTCTGGCATGCTACAGTACTCAATCACCACACACCCACTGCAGGTGGACGGACCCCCGCTACGGTACCTTGGGTTTCTGCAGCACCAAACCAAAGCCCAAGTGACCGCGACCGAGCATAAGGCCGGACGCACGCAGCACCTGCCCCAGGCATGTGTTCTGCTTTGTGGATATTTGGCCTCTATCTTCATCGTCCCGCTAGCCAACATGCCACACCCCCCGCGCCGCAACTCCACTCCCCCCCCCTGGCTCCAGTTATTGTACCTGCACGCGAGTTATAGTGACCAGCCCCGCCCCCAGAGGCACAGCACAAAAGCGCGCGGCCCGCACCGCTCATCCCCTCTCAGACCCTGCCCGTCGCAATCGAGCGCACCCCAAAACCTATTTGTGCCCCCCGCCGGCCCCGCCGCGCCCCGGCGCCAGTGCCATCACCCCCTCCCGGCGCTGGAAACCGCCTAATGTAGTACTGTTGGTGTAGTTACAGCACCCAACACGGTCAGGATTGCGCCATGTGGTAGATACACTTTGTGATGAGTCAGGCCTGTTCGTGCTGTTCACAATCACAAATGGACACACAGGTAAGAGCACGATACCAGCCAGAGTCCATTGAGTGACATCATTAAGGACAGCGCCCCCTTGGTCCACTACTACCCTGGGATGGGCAGCAGCCGCTTCAGCGCCATCCAAACCGCCGCAACCCCAGTCGACTGTGAGGTCTCCACCACATTGGCCAGGCTCTTGGCCGTTTCGCTGCACGCCTGCGCGAGACAGATGAGCGCTCGGTCCGTCACTGTGCCAGCAACGCACGCACCCCAATGCGTGCGCACATGAAGCGCCCACTGGGCGGCACCATCCCGCTGTGGGGTCGTTTGCCTTCTGCAAAGCATTCCAAGAGGCGTTAGTCACCCTTGCTAGTAACTTGTGGCACCAACCAGGCTTGCGTGAACCCCCGTGCAACACCCCCATTAATAAGAAGGGAATCAGGTACACACAACCCCTCTCTCCCTCACTCTCACCCCATGAGCCAGCACCCCGCACCCCGCACCCCGCACCCCGCACCCC